AGACAATAGGCCTATTCCTATGGATAGACCTAAGAATGCATGTTACATTATGCGAAAAACAAATTGCGTTGTTCCCCTTTGGGATTCGGAGCCGCCGCGGTAATAATAAGCCTAATTAAACAACTAAATTAACTTACTTGACAGAATTCACACGGATTTTATGAGGCGCCAATTCTAAAATTAAAAAAAAAAGAAGCAATATAAGCACCAACATAAAATAGGTCAACTTTAATCAAAAGCTACACATGAATACCATCATGGCCGTCTTCATCCTTACTATGGTTATTATCATTATTATTTTATTTTGTTTAGGCCTATTATCATTTTCACTATTATTTTCATCATTGTTATTATATTATCCTCTTAATTTAAACCATACTTGACATAAAATGACCAGGCCTACAATAAGCAAACAAATACTACGTAGGTGGGCGGTAATTTCTGCCGAGTCGATGCACCATCGACACATGAATCTATTATTATACTACAATATAATCTCAAGAACAATATCAAAAATATTGATTTACCAACGGCTGCGTTTTCAGTAAATTTATCCAAACCTGCCTTCGCTATGCTGTATACAGGGTTGTAGTCAGTCTGTGAAGAAACGATATTTTCTCATATGTAATTAATAAGTTTTTATTCATTCATCTATTCATTCTAACTCGCTCGCACACTCATTTATTTACTCATAGGAGAATGGTTCCATAAAAAATTGGCAGACTATATAATAGATTAATAACACATTTTAAAAATTAATAATTAAATCAATAGTCGCCGTCACAATCTCGAAATACTTACTGATGTCAGACTGGCTACACTGGAAACATTCACGATACACCCTGTAAAAAATAATAAGAATGGTTCCAATGTGAGGTTAAAATAATTTAATATATTTTCATTCCTCTGCTCAACAGAACCCCTAACCTGTAGTATTACTACAGTTCCCCCCTCCAATTAAAAACCACGTTTCTGTGGTCCAAAATTTACAAATGTCTTTTATTTTTATTATTCTAATTAGAGACCAAAGCTGCTAAAGACCACTAAAACCCCTGTCCCAAAAGTGACCTTTAATTGGAGGGAGACCTGTACTTATCAAATATAGGCATAATTAAACTGTACTGCCAACAAAGCTATAGTATCAGATATCACTTTTGAAATGTTGAAACTGCCGATAAACTAGTCTATACTTGGTAATAATATAAACAAACAAATATGCCTACATATGACAGAATTGAGATTTTTGAAAATGGTCAGTACAAGATAGATTATTCACCGCTTTTATTCATTTATTCATTACTGAATGTAATAAGTTATTATATTATAGTTAGGCCTATATATTTTACTCTGAAATACAAATAACTACCGTATGTTTGTTGATATGTTACAGCTATAGATTTTTAACTTAAACTGGTTTAGCTATAGAGTTTTAACTTAAAACATTTTCTATAATAAAATAAATATAAAAGGACCTACTCCTTAACTAAAAATCATGCTATAAATAAAATTATATTCTGTAAAAGTACCCTCAATCCATCATCATGCCATTATAATATGATTGATTTTTAGCTAGTGATCTTAATTGGTACAAGTCATCTACCGTATCTAATTTAATATCTTCTTAATTGTGCCAATAAAGTAAAATTATCCCTTCAGTTTCTTTACAGATTTAATAGCAAATGCCATGGAAATAATATTCTCGAACTAAATGATTAAAACGCAACACAAGACCGAACATATTCCATCTTGACTTTTCAATTAGTTTGGACAATGAACATACATTTGTCACTTTATATAATGATTCGTTTGAAATTTTTTTTGGGTAGGTCTATCTAATATTTAATATATAATAAAGATGTCGTCTATGAATTGTATCAAACTATTAAGCATTTTTTTTTGTAGGTGCCCAACAACTACAATTATATGCGATTATTGAAAGTACCTGGGCATCATAACCTTGTATTCTACGTTTTATTTTGATTTTTCCATATGACCATACCTTTGAGAACTAAGAAAATGCAATATAAGTGAGAACAATTCTACGTTTGATATCTTTTTTTCTACAAGTGTACCAAGAATATTAAGAGATTTCCATATATATAGAAATTATTTTTATCAAATTTAACAAATTCAGTTTTATCTTGGTCCACAAATAAGTTCCATTCATTAAGTATCTTTTGTATGATATCGAAAGCAGATTTTAATACTTGTACTACTGTACAAATAAGTAAGCCATTTACAGGTGGATTAATGGGAAAAAAAGGTTGTTTTTTTTAAATCATAACGTATTAAAAAATAACAAATACCAGAGGCGGATCCAAAATTTTTTAAACGGGGGTAGGGGTACAACAGTTTCAGAATAGATAAGTGAGTAGCACACAACATTGATATGCACTGAAATTTTTAAAATTTTGTGGCAAAACGGGGTGGGGGTACATGCCTCCCTACTGGATCTGCCCCTGAACACGGAAACTGCACATCCTAATGCCACGTACATAAGCTTTCTCCACCATTTCATGGCTCTTATGTAGACATTTTTCACGTCACAATTTACCGATGTTGCTCTGCCTACTTCGGATTTGCACAAACGAGTTTGTGCCCATCCTTCCATCATGTCTCATGCGTTTGAAAACTAACACTCCGTATTCTATATATAGATACAATCTGATGAGCAAAACATCTTGTGGAAAGAGACTTAATTAAGAGGTAGACGTTTGCGATTATCTTGGATTAGAACACAATTTGGATGTACTTGCATCAGTATAATATAAGTGTCTAGGCCTCGTCACAGGTTCGCGCTTTCAGTATGATAGCGATCACAAGAACTGGCCAGCTAATCACAGGCTGGAAAGTTTAGAATTTTTACATTTTGAACAAACTTACACGAATGAATCCGAGTTCATTTAAATGGTAACGTGAATATGCAAGTCATTTGCAACTAATGAATACTCTAAATTGAAATACATTGATACCTTTGCTTTCAATAAGATATGGTATCACGAGTTTGGTTATGAGAACAACGGAGCGAAGATTCAAGTTCATCACTTTGTCGAACGTGGACATCTTTATGGTCTGCAAGTTTCCTGGGCAAGGAATTCCAGCATTGTTCACCTAAAGAAACAGTATAAAATGTTTTGTACTAATAGAATTGAGATTCAAACTAAATTTCGATGAGAGAAGAATGGAGAAGAGGATGGGATTGATGGTGGGGGAGAATGGAGAGGGAGGAGAGAGAGGCTGGAAGGAGGAGAAAGAGCAGGTATAGGGTTAAGTTACAGAGTGGGGATGCCAAAAGGAACACTATATTTTCAACTGATTGTTTATTTATTATTGTACTCAAAGTTCTCTCAATGAATTTAAGATGACGGGAACAAAATAGTCTCTTATTGATGCAGAATTCAGTAAGGCGAAATCAGTAGCCCTCAATGATGAAGCTACAAGTGACTTACCAAACCAAAGATTGAGCCGAAGAAGTCCACAGCCTCTTTTACGATTCTTTCAACATCAGAGTCACTGCACATATCTCCTTGGACAACCAATATCTTAAAAAAATAGAGAATTCAGATAAGGCTTCTATTAGCCCTATTTGAGCCCAACCAGATCTAAAATTAAACCCTGTAAACAGAACTATATAAAAAAATTTAAAAAAAACTCCCAAGATTGGTATTCTTATTAGTTCAGCTAGATTTGAGATAGTAACTCAGGGGAAGTAACACTTTATCATACATGTGATAACATTGTAATGACTCCTGAATCTTGATTTGAGATTCATGGTAGAAGAAGCTCATTGTTAAATCATAAAGGGAAACACAACTAAACTTGGGTTATTTTGCAATACGTCTATTATTAATTTAACCAAAGAACACACCCAGTGATCATAAAAATACATTTCGATTGTCCCACAAATAATGCGAGTTACACAGGGCTCTTGTGCCTCTGGTGTTCTGATCAGTTTCGTCAATAGCCTTCTTAGATTTTCAAACAAAATCGTATGGCATTACACCGAACTTCCGTGCCGCCAATTTCCGTCTCTGTGTGATGTTCAATGTGATTTGTCAATAGCATTCTTTACTTTACAGGGATAATAAAAAGTTGATGTACCACAAGATGCTGAAAACTTTTTTGGTAATTTTCAAAAAATATAATTCTAAGCGTAGGCTTTTGTATTGTGATAAATTACATTGGTAAAGCGACACACCAAAGTTGACTAACGACTGTTAAATATGACGCAAGCCGACCGCTTAATTGTAGTACAATTAGAATTAGAATTTGAAATTGCCAAAAAAACATTTGAAATAGGCTATCTTAGAGGAAGAGTTTCACCCAGATATATAACGATTATTTCAACATGCCGGAGATTATCTTTGGCCCGTGAGGTGAACTCTAAAAATAATTTGGCCCGTCAAACAAATTAAATAAGAACCAGGGCACACAGGCACAACACAACACAGGCATAAGACAGGCTTACTTAAATATATTATACAAGTTAAACAATTAAGTATTGAATTGTACTTTTTAAGCTCAACTCAGATATCGCCGGCAGACCTAATTATTAGATTCTGTTGCAAATCCATGTGCGTACATTTTATATAGCAACATTGTAAAAGTAAAGTTATCGTTATAAACGCTATTGCTACATTCCATCATAAAAGTATATAATTGACTCTAACCTGTTCTTCTTGTAGCCCTTCCTGAATGCACTTTTCCTTAACTTTGCTTAGCCTTTCCATATTTCTTCCAGTCAGGCATAATTGATAACCACGTGATGCAAGCTCCAATGCGGTTCCTTCTCCGATACCAGAGCTGGCACCTGTTAAATAATACACATTATTTGGATCAGTAAATTTAAATGTTTTTTTTAACAGTGAACATATACATACATAATACTGTATACTACATGACAGTACAATGTCCTGGGCTATGTATATATCGGATGTGTATAAGAGACAGGTTAGAAACTGTGCTTGAATAAAGGAACAATGATGTTAAGATCGTATACTTTTTTTTATATAGTATGCCTGAGTGCATACTGAACTTTATCTTAGATACATTTAAAATCTGAAATCACTTCCTACATGGACGTTAGATTTACGTTCTAGTAAGAATTTTTTAGGCCTTTATATTATTTACTTAGTTGGCTTCGTTTCTTAAAATGTGGCTAATACTCATGTGAGGGATGATGGGGCAAAATAAGTGCAAAAGGTACATTAATAACCTCTGGCTGCTTTCGTTCAACAGAAGACGTCCTTCGTTCATTGTGTTGCACCAACATGGTGCCAACAATAGCATGAGACATGCAATAAAAAAAAGTTAAACAGAAAGCTTAATTATACTGTATATGATATGCCTACATAGCATTGAATTATGAATTGGGTTGACTTTCCAAACCGCTATATTGTAGACGTATTCAAAGTAACATTAGACCAGGCTTAAGTGCCTACTAATTGAGCGAATAGTGTCAATGAACCTGTAAGCATGATGTAATATTGCGAGTCAGACTCATTACATCGAAATACATTAAGAATATTGTGATATATTTCTTTAATGGGAAAGTTCAATACAGAACACATTAGCTCATCCATACCTGTAATAAGAACAACCTTTCCTCTAGACGACATCGCATCAATTTATGTTCTTTGTATATAACAATCAAAGATGGATACTTGATTTTCAGGCAGATTCTCTTGTTTGATTTGTGTTCACACTGATTGCATACCAGCAGGCTGGAATCTATGTCCTATGCGTTTATTACTGCATAAATTATTACATATGCTGGCCACCAGCATCTTTAACGTGTGGGATGAGGGTGAGGATCCCGTGGTGTCAATAGACATGGGATTGAAATGGAACTGAAGATACAGTTGCGGATTCTGGGTAGCGCAAGTGGCAATCGAGGGCCCAAAGGGGGCGAAACATATGATCATAGAGGTTTTGGGATGTTCCCTTGCATATTGTAGGGATCAAGGGGTTATTTCCTCTGAAAACATTGGAGTTTTAGCTATTTTAACCTCTTATCTACATGATTTCACATTTGGTCAGTGACTTTTTTTAAGGCCACATGGTAGATTGGCGTGCTTTCCCATCCATGGTCATGGGTTTAAAAACAGTATTTTAAAACGGTTGAATATTTTCCCCTACTACACTAAAACGCATTTTAATGATCGCTTTATTCCGATTTGTATTATTGCATATAGGTTTACATTTTTTTATTGAAAAAAAAAACAGCTTAACACTAAACGTAAAATATAATAAGTACAGAAATTCCCATATTAGGTTCCATAATAATATAGGCCTATTAGACTCGAATATAATATTTTTTTTTGTTTCAATTGTTCATAAGCCTAACATTCATGTCTGTTGTAATCGTACTTTGGTCTTAATATGAACTCTCCACGAGGCCTCTCTGTATATAGAGATGTATAGGCCTGAAGTATTATTGTGTAAAGAACAGGTCAGTGGTTTCAAATTTTGCTATTGACAATGCAATCAAAAAAGTAGATCTTTTTCAACCATGCTTCAAAAAAATGTGTCCGGTAGAATGGATTAAATAAATGTTTACCGGATGTCACCGGATGTTCGGATTACCTTCCCAGAGGATAAGTGGTCAAAGGTTAATAGTATTCTATAATAATATATTTTCCCTCGAATACAGGAGAAGAACGAAGTCAATGAGGAACAAAGTTCCATATTTGGCAGCCAAACATATAACATGAAAGAAAAATAGCGAATGACACAAGCATACAATCGCACTCAGCAAAGACACCTCGCAAAACTAACAAAAATATGTTTAAAAAAAAATTAATCCATAAAAATTAAAATTACCTTCTTTTTGCCACCGAATGAATAATGGCTGATGACAAAGAGGTGGTATCTTTATGCTATTAAAACACTTTTCTTATTAGAGTAGGGCTATTATAAACTTGAGCATTATGAGTAGGCCTATGTAAGGACAGGTCGAACCCTTTATGACCTGGGTTCGTATTAACCGAGATGATGAATCGAATGCCGCGATAGTCCATAGTTTCCAGTCGTTTTTAATGTAACTTTGCTATTGAAACTAATATAAATATAGAACTTCTGAATAGTTTACTTCAGGACTTAATATCGCTCATCTGGTTACCAGAATATGTATAGGGTCCAATAAATAATTTACATTGACCGCTATTCTGACCATGTATAATATCAGTAAGTCAAACGTTGATTTGTATCGATATAATAAAGCAAAAACATGTCTAAGTTCCTGACCTATTCTCGTAAATTCCTCCGAAGGTGGTCGCAATTGGAGTCGAGCTGTAAAACTCTAGGATGTCATATGCTCATTTGTTTCATATGTGTAGAGACAGGTCACAACGAATATTAAACGTTTGGTCATTTTGATTAAATTTTCACGAGCAGTGGACGATATGCATTTAGGATAATGTTATGATGGAGGATGTTCTTAATGATAAGCCACTGCGGAGGTTTGTCTGTGCCTTGCTAGATTAAAAGATTTAGGACTTAGCAGGATATTAATGAAAAGTAATGAGTAAAAGTGCCAGCGATTTATACACAACTGCACGGGTAAAGTAACAATATCGTATTCATATTATAAATGTCCTATAAATTTAGATATACCTGATATTGTTTCTGATCTGAGTGCTTTCTCATTACAACAACACTATCTCTCATGGTTGGCTTATACACATCTAGATGTGTATAAGAGACAGCCAGCAGGCTGGAATCTATCCTATCAAGGACAGCTTCCCCTCCTCCCCCCCCCCCGGTCGGGGGGAAAAGCACAATTCGTCAGGGAGAAAAAAGCCTTTGAAACCCCTAAATCAGGGGTGGGCATAAAAATCGGTCTGAGGGCCAATGCGAATTTTTAATTTAACACCGAGGGCCGCACCTAACCTTTGATATTTCCAGTCACCTTCCAAAAACCTCCAAGCACTGCTTTTACACCACTTTATTTTCAGTTTTAATGTTACTTTTTACATACGATCGGTTGTACCCTAAACTGTGCGACGCCCGACCACACCCACTTTTCGTCAGGACATCGGACCCCTCATCAGGCAAATCTTGGTGCCACCTCTGCTCTCTCTGGACATATAGACAGATACCGATAAGCACATTACACACAAGAAACACCCCCTCCCCAACCAATGGTTGTAATGATAGATTAAAAAATGCTTCTCTTCTCGTGGAGTCTGTTAATATAGGCAGTCGTAGAGCAGTGCATTAATTGTAGACTAATTACCTAAATTTAAATTTTCTTTTTTATTAAATTCCAAAATTATCTTCTAAGTTATAGTATAGATTATAGGCCTAATACATATTCCATCTGTCCATGGAATTACAAATATTTTAATTCATCATAAGTATTAAAACTCCTCCCCTCGGTGTATTCTGCTAATTAATCATTTAAATTTTATTTGTGTTAACTTTATTCGTTTTTTAAAATTTTTCGTCGATAAATTAAGTTCCACTCTAATTTTATGATCCTTATATTTGGAACAAAACCGTGAAAACAAGCAGAAAAAATACGATTTTGAATGTTTTTAGTCTTTTTAATGCTTCAAATCGTGTCCACACTGCAACGCTGAATTAATTCTTATCACTGCTGTAACAGCAGCGCGAAGATTGTCCATGTTACCGCCTGTTCGCAGCCAGGCTTTGCATCGTGACGTATGAGTGACTCTTTCATTTTCAGCCAATCAGAGTAGAAATATGCACAGAGTGGGAAAACAAAAAATTAAAAAGATGGGTATTATACTGTACTATAGTATAATAATTTTGATAATGAATAACGCCAGTAAACGTTAGGCATCAAACTTGTTGGTAGGACGCTATACACCTCTCTGCATATCAATTTTTTAGGATTCCAATAGGTGAGGAAAATTAAAAAAAAAACAAAAAACATTAGATTGAATTGTAAAATGACGGATTTGGAATATCGGGGATTCAAAATCAATAACATTATGTAGGCGTATACTAACATCAATTTAGCACTTAAAGACAAAAATAATATTTCATTCTCTTATCTATAGTTTATGAAACGTTTGAAAATAATATATTAAATGTCACCAACAATGCTCTATGCAATTCAGTTTAAATACAGTAGGCTTATATCATATCCGTTTCAACACAGTGCTGTGTTACCCTCGTCGCCTGCGCTGTCAACTAAAGTCAAATGCAGTCAGTGTCCACTGTGATAAATGTAATTATGCCATTGGCTGGAGTAAAATTATGCTATAGAATGCTACGCCTCAAATAGTGCATAATTATACACTACTGCCGTAGATTTTGGTACTTAATCTGAAATCGGGTATAGAGTACTGGCGTTCAAAATAGTGTATTTAGCTAAAAATGAGTTTAACACGTTCACTGCCACACCCCTTTACCTACTTGCCTTTTTAGCTGTGGTGAGAAAATTTAAAGAATCGGCACCTCTAGATCAAGGCCGTAGGAAGCGGTTATGGCTGGACCAATATAATCGCCAATCAATTTCGTTTGCATGCCAATTGTCCATCAGATTCAATATCCATTTTTTTACAATTTTAATATGCCTTTAAGTATGCTTCAGGCCTGTAGCGTGCGGGAAAGAGGGTTAAGGGGATCACGGCGAACCGCCCAAAAACTGGAGAAGTTCCGCATTTAAAAACATACAATCTCAAGACAAACACACACATCCCAGGCCCAGAGGAAGCAGTTTGCTATTTAACTCGGGGCCCTGGGACTTGAAGGCAAGCATCTTAACCACCAGTATCAGTTGTATAAATTGTGAATGTGGTCTGAATCCATAAAGTATTCTTTTGAAGTATATGCCTACTGTATTTGAAAAATCCAACGAAAAAAGGAAGCAATTAGTTCAAAATTCTGTTTTCACTTTCTGGGTAGTCAATTTCAAAGAATTTAATTTTTCTTGATTTCAACATTTTCATTGGGTGTGAGTGGTTAATTTTACATAGCAAACACTAAAACTGTAAACACATTTTTTTTTTGTCAATCTTGATTTCACAATTTGTATTCCTTCTTTAAAATATAAAATGTAAATTTTGTCAATTGTCCGATGTCTCCAAGTCGTATTTAATTAGTAGGCCCGGTCATGGAGTTAGTGTAAGATATTAACTCTATTGATTATAATCTCCACTCACGAATATACCAACAAATTACAATCAGGATCGGATGCGAGATTATAGCAATTATATTCAGATCTTTATCCATTAAGTGTTCGATCTACATGACAACATGAGATGCATAATATTTTGTTATTTTTATTGCATAAAGGACAGTAGGCCTACTCAGTCAGTTATTACGATATATATACAGAGAACCCCTCCTTGGGACACCCCTATTCAGGGGACACCTCTATTAAGGGGACACTTTTCGACGAGGGGCAAAATGCCTTTTAACACTCAACCAACCCCTATTAAGGGGGGGGGGACACTTTTTGTATTGTATCAAAACTACTACAGTAGTCACAAACGATACGAAATATATGATTTGTGAAATTGATAGGAATATTAACAAAGAAGCTTTACATTTTTAATTTTTTCATTAAGCTTAATTGATTTCTTTATCCTATGCCTTATCAAATTCAATAGATTAGCCTAGTTTCTTAATTATCCAGAGTCTCCAATGGTGCATCCACCTATATTTGTAATATCAATCAATCAATTAAATGTTCAAATGTAATACCGTATTTTATTTTCATCAATTGAAATGCAAAAAGCATAATTAGCTATGGCTTTCAATACAAAA